GGGTTCTGGAGCGCTGACCTGACTTGTGAGATCACGAAGGAGATTGGCTCCCAGACTTGTTTCCTCCCCTGCTCGGAGACTTGCTCTTTCTTCTCTTACGACTGTCATTACCGGTATTGTCACCATCTCTTTTTATTTTCTCAACTGGATTGTCGGTCTTCGGATTCATCTCTTCCTCGGTTCCGATGAACTAGTCGGCGAGCTTGAGGAATTCCGTGATGTCTTTTGGCTTGTTGGCCACCACATGCCATTTGAATTCCCTGTGAGTTATGCCCTTCTTTGCTGCCGTGAGCCTCATCGCTAGGTCTAGATCTGGGATCTGCAAGCAGGTGTCATTAAAGCGCTTGATGTAGCTTCTAATGGACTCCCCTTGTCTTTGAACTACATTAAGGAGGCTCTCTTGGGACCTCGAGCACTTCTTGCTGGTGATCAAGTGCGAGGTGAATAACTCCACGAATTGTGCCCAACTCTTGATTGATCCTGGTGCGAGGTTTCGGTACCATGTGCGAGCTACTCCTTCGAATGTGGTGGAGAAATCCACGCACATGCAGGACACATCAGCCCCAGCTAGATGCATCTGGGACTGGAAGGAGTCCATGTGGTCGTTAGGGGATCTTTGTAGCGATCCCCGGAGAGTAGAGGAGCGATCTTTGTAGCGACCAAGCTCGCCTCTTCTTTACCTTTAATCTGTTCTTGCTGGTTTGGCCTCGCGAGCTGGCTGTTCTGAGCTGAAGTTCGGCGTGCCTTGCAACGCTTTCGTTGCTGCTTCTTCATCGGCTCTACATTGGTGCTACTAACCTCTGTATGGTCTGGTACTGCTCTGCTACGAGGTAGCTCTTGGTTCCTTTGGTTTTGAGGCTGACTGTCGCGGATAGAAGGGCCTTGCCTTGAGTTCGCGGCCAGAACCTCGAACCGGTTACCTACGAGCGATCCACCTTCTTGATGCGAACGCCGAGGAAGAGTAGCTCTATTGGGTTGAGTGTCCTCGGACCTGTTTCCGATGTTGCCTTGTGAAGCAGGAGGGGTGATCTGTTCGTCTCTCCTCCCACGAGGTGAGACTTGGCTCCCGAGAGGAAGTGGAACCTAGGAAGTCTCCTCGCCTCGATGGGGAGATTGAGTGATGTTTTGCGGGCGAGGTTGGTTCTGCTGAGTTGCAGGGCGCCGGGTGGAACCGGCTGCTGACTTTGCGGTAGTGGAGGGAATTGCTGCTGGTAGTATTGGTAAAACACATGTTGTTGGTATGGCTGGAATTGTTGGACCTATTGCATTTGGACATGAATGATTCGCACGTAGTGTACCAGGTCGTTAAATTGGGATTTCCCGACTCTGGGGGGAACCATAGACGGTTCAGCGAAGGTTGCGCCCACCACTGGAGGGAGCGGGGTGTTTACCTGTGTAGTAGCTTGCGGTATAGCCAGTGTTGGGACCCCAGCCGCAGTGAGCGGTATGGTGAACTGACCAATGCAGACTGATGGAAACTGAGGTTGCCCCCCAAAGATGTTCATTTCAGTGCTCTGTTCGGTGTGACTAGAAGATGCCATTGATTTCAGATGGGCTGTTGATTGTGAAGAAGGCTTTTTCGATGGTCTTCCCACAAATGACGCCAATTGATGTAGCGTGATCTAACTGCTCCCTGCTGGAGGGTGATCTAGCTTCCTGTCGGACAACGAGTTAGGTAAATTTGCAGAACAAGATCAGAGAACCCGGGGTGGCTAGCCCGGTGAGGTCGCTCCGATGCTTAAGTTAGTAAGCTATTGCGAACTGAATAGTTTTAAGAATGTAGAGAGCTAGAGAGCTAGAGAGCAGAGAAATCACGCGTACCTTGTGCCATCGGGGTTGGAGCCTTTATATAGTTGAGTCATCGTGGGTTTTGCAGATCGGTTCCGAGATCTTCGTCACGATGGGATCCGTTTCCTCTTTAATTGGGAAATAACGCTATCAACTGATAAAGCTTATCAATTCCTCCCGAACCGGGCGGGGAGGAGATAAGGCTTGCCGTTATGCAACGTGATCCCGCGAGGTTCGGGGTCTGTTGGAGAGATTTTCGAGATCGTCACGTAGTGGTCTGAGTCAGTATCCCCGAGCTGATACTTTTTAGTTCTGAACTGGATTGAATGCCGAAGTGCCTTGGGGCCGAGGTGATCCTGTTGCGACCTTGTACCAAGGTGTCCTCGTCCCAAGATGACCTTGTCCTGAGGTGATCCGTACCGAGGTGGTTGAATATCCCGAGCTCGATCTATTGCGGACTAGGCATGTTAGGCTGAGCTATCATCTCTTAGTCAGGTCGTGTCCATGTGTCCCCTTATTACTAGGTCGGGCCAAATCACCCTTCATCAGTTGTCTAAGGTTTATTAGTTCAATTTTTATTCAGCCGGTGAAGTGTTTCTTTTTCTCTTTGTAATGTAATCATTCATTTCTGCTATGCTTTTTTGGGGGGGTAAAGTTTCTGCTCTTCTCTATTTCTACTAAGGAATCCTTTTTTTAGTTCATTAGTTTTTTTTGCCTCTTTTTATGTTTTCATCTGTTCGTGTTGTGAACCGAAGAACTTGTTATATAGTGTTTGAGGAATATTGGCTTGAGCAGGGTAACGTGTTTCTATATTAACTTCTTGTGCTGGCTGAATCGCACCCATAAACCAACACCATCTACCTAGCACCCTCAACATGCACCATAGCTGTAGAATTTTTCTATTTCTTGTATTTTTTGTGTTTTTTCTGTATTTTTTAGAATTTTTTGTATTTTATTCTTATACTTTTTATGTGTTTTATACTATATTATTTTTGTATTTAGATAGTTTTATTTTCTGTATTTTTTCTGTATTTTATTATTATTATGCTATTTTTTATTATTTATTAATATAATTTTTATTTTTAATTTATTTATGACATCACGGGTCAAATTGTTCAACCCATACGGTTGAACTACCCATCTTTTTTTTTTTTTGATAACAAGTAAATTCAAGTAAATTGGTCAGAAGGGAGGTGAAAAAGACCCAAATTCTACAAATTATTCTGTATCCTTGCTCTAGTTTAATTTATTAATCTTATGCAATATCCAAATCCGTAGGACATAAGTTTCAAGTTAAATCAAATCTGAATAGTTTTACTACTAAGTAAATAATTACGGGGAAGCGTTGGCGGAGTATGGATCCAAAAGTGTTTGTGTCACTATTATCATTAATCAATGCGCCCGAGTCTAAGCGTCTTCTCTTCTGTCAAGAACAAGGTTTTTAAAACCGAATTAGATAATGAATCGGTTAGGGTCCGGTATTCAGGTCGAACAGTTTGACCATTTGAATCAAATAGATGGTTTGTTCTGACAAAATAATTAAAATTAAAAAAAAAAAAATTAAATCGGTAAAAAGTAAATCGGCCAAATCATTGAACAGTTCAACTGCCTAAGTCAGTGGTTTACTGATCAAATCAACAGTTTTTGAGAAAATAACGGTTCTAGGGTAAAATGGAACTAATCACCTGACTGATTTCCGGTTTTTCCAGTCTGACCGTCTGGTCTGATCCGATTTTAAAAACCGTGGTCAAGAATGCATAATCCGAACATAGGCCCTGGATGTAGATGTGTGGATTTACAGAATTAGGAATCAATGCAACCAAATAGGTTTACTCAACTAATCCTAAAAGAGATACTGCACTCCTAGATCTCAAAATTCAAATAATAATAATAATAATAGATCCAGGAGCAGGAGTATCTTATGAATTCGATGTTCGGGTTTCTCATTTCGAAGCTTCTAAGATTTTCGTCCTCTTTAATCTACCAACCAAGGCCAAGGGTAACAGAGGATTCTTCTTAACAAAAGCTGTAACGATGAAGCGTTCCATCCAATACATAGTGACGTCCTTGGTAGGTTTGATTTTGCACCTGGATCGGCCCCCAATATACAAAAAGAAAATATATTTAAATTAACAGGCCCAAAGCCCGGCCCGGCCAAGCCCAAGCCGCTATGCCACAACTAAAATCCGGACAGGTAATTATTCCTCATTCTTTCGGTTCCAATAGACCGGCAAAATCCAAAAAGGAAGGCTGATGTTATGCATGGAGCTGCGGATTTTTTTTTTTTTTGTACACAGCTCTTTCCTATCTAATCATCATGCTGCAGAAGGCTTTGTTATATTGACTTCCAATCACAATTTGTTGCAGCAATAGGAAAACAATATACAGTTCAAGGCCCAAAGCAAGCAGAGGAATGGGCCATGCTGAACACGTTACAGTGGGTTTTAAATTCTGGTTTAAAATAGGTTCGATTAGTCTCAGAATCAAATAATCCTGTATCATAGATATCTCTATAAAACTGCAAAGAGATTGGATGGATCAAGCCTTGCTAGAGCAGCATGAAACTCTTTGAGAGTTGCAATCAAGGTTTAAAGTATCAATACATCGTTCCGGGACCTCTCCGATACACCCCTATAGTGGATGTATCAGGGGTCTGTCCGGTTCAGGGGGTGGGGCCCTAAACCGACCCCCCTGAACCAGTTTCATAAAAATAAAAAAGTAAATAAAAAACAGTAAACCTTGGTTGTAACCTCTCAAGTAAGAAGATAATGCCATGTACTTGCTTATAAAGTAGCACATCAATCTAGACAAGGAGACTTCAAAATTCACAGTTTCCCCACCCAGCTGGTGGGAATACTTTGCCCAAGATCAGGAGATGTAATTTCGGCTCTAGTGTTTTTATTCTTCCGCCAAAAAATAAGAATAGAAAAAAAAAAGGAAAGGATACGATCACAAGTGCTGTAATTTCATTTTCACCGCAAGCGCAACTGAAAATGCTGCGCTCATACAAGTCTTACATTGGTAATTCAAACGGATCCATATATATTATTTTTGGACGAATAGATCAAAACAAGAAAAGTCAGTCTTGCATATTGAACCAATAGCTTTTTAGGGTTTATAAGGCTGCATTTGGCATTCTTTATTTTAAAGATTTATTTCCTTTTTGCAATTAAAACTTAATTGTTCGTAAGAACATTGTAATTGCAAAAAAGAGATCAAAATAAGGAAATAAATTGCAGAATGTAATAACAGTGGGCGTTCATTAAGTCTAACCACAGTTAGGGCCCTACATTGAGTTGCATTATCATAAATATCCCTACCTCCTTGGATATCTGAACTTAACACTCTCAAGACTGTCCCTTGCAAGATGGCCCGGATTAGCTACGTGGTTAATTGCTCATAGAGACTGCATGAACTAACACTGCACAGTACAGATAAACAGGAGTTTGCAAGTTGGCCGAAGCATATCCCTATTCCTTACCAACCCCATGTCCTATCCCTTTGTCCAAGCACACAGTATTCAAGGTCCAACAATTGCTTAACACATCAACATTGGTACAGTCCCCCTTTGACATATAAGCAACGCCTCCCACGGACTAGAAAGGGCAAACGAGAACTCTGGGCCTGCACACGAGGTCATGATCAAATGCCACTGACCTTGGTATAGCCATTCATCGAGCCCTGTGCAACAGGCCAACACAGCAACGGGTAATCTTTCCACTGCACAATCTTACTCCGTGACAACATGGCTTTCATGTAAATGGCCCACATCTAATGTCGCCCCAGGAAAGTAGCCTCAGATGTTTCTCCTGTAAATGAGCTTGTTATGGCCCAATAAAGCCGTTAGTGTGAACCATGAATTTTCCATAAACCACGCAGGACTGGAGAATATCATGATAACCACCCTACGTTACATAAATCATTCAGCATTCTAATTAAACATAAAACCACCAAAACAGCATTTCTGGAGACCTTGTAATGAAACCAAATAATGATATTTGTGAACAACTCAAAATTCACAACATAATTCTAAGAAAAATAAAGGTACTTCTTTCCAACTCAACACTAAACAAAGACGTTAAACTAACATAAAAGTAATATTTAAAACATAAAACAATGCAAAACACCTAAGTATTGGTCGCCCTGGTGTAAATTTGCTGGCTTGCATGGGCAGATACCATCCTGATCAAACCTCTTGCCATTAATTCCCTAATTGCCCTCCTTGCAAGTGATCCATTAATCTGTGAAGCCATCAAAATAAACAAAAGATGAAAACAGTAACAATAACACACTACACGGGAATTCAATCAATTTCATGTTAATCCAGAGTCCAGACCTAAATGAAAATATAATTTTTTTATGGTCCAATCTCTGCAGTTATCACTTAAGCTAGCTCCATATTTTCTTTGATAAATCTTAAATTAGCTAAATATAATAAACACTTGGAAATGTTGAAAATACACTTTAACTTAACATAAACACAGTCGTGTGCATTACTGAAGGATGACTTGTTCCTGGAAGTCCACATCAAAATGAATCTATGATGCGGACACGAGTGCCATTTTCAACATTGAGATAAATTGTTGGGTATAGAAAGCCCACATATTCCATTTGTGTCCAACATTTCTTCATAAAGCCACACGGGTTCCAAGTCAAAAAATGTCTGACAGCAGAAATTTATAAGGACTAGTTTCTTATGTATAACATGTCAAATCAATAATACAATAGTGATGACAATTAATCAATTATGTCAGAGAAAACAAGAACTTAACAAAGCATTGTCCCAACCTTATGGAATCAGATAAATAAAGCCTATTTGGACATTACAACAAGTCCTCAACCCATATCTAGCTACCGCAACCTATGTTCTTCTTGGCCTGCCCCCAAACTCTTCTGGACCATTCAACTTGCATTAGATGAATGGTAACTGATTAAACGGTTTACAAGTTCAGATGACCGATTACATGAGGCTTTATCTCGACCACACATTTTACGTTACAAGCAGTAACTATTTTAGACGAGGTCTTTTTCCTATTTTACGTTAACTAGATATCAGTAAAATGAACTGAATGTCATTTTAACCACCACCTTATTGAAGATTCATAGACCTTCCCAGGAAAGAAAAAAGAAGAGGATGAATCAAGGCTCTGTTATCATAAATACAGTCTCAAATTACCAAGTATCTAATAGTACAACAGTACAAGTAAATTACCAAGTATCAAGGATCTATTATCACAAAGAGCATGAACTATCGATTACCTAATTGTCTCAAATTGTCTATTCTTCAATAATAAGCTACAATATCTAGCCATATGGTACCAACCATGATCTTGAATGCTGTATAATAATGAAAAGTTTTGCAAAGGCTATGGCAACAAAGTGGTTCAAATTGCCAGTGAAAAGTTTTGGGTGATGAAAGTATCTGTTCAAATTAAAAGACAGTTGCATATCATGTTTCTTGTACACAAACAATTTATAGTAAAAGAATTTTTCTAATTTGTAACTTTCATGAACTTAAATGAATTGAATTTTAATGCCACACTCGTTTACTCTAATTCATAAGTGTTCTTTTACATTGTCATTATTTTTTTGTTCAGAACTCGTTGCAGCAGAAAACCACTCAATAAGAAGACGTACAAGGAATGCCCATGGACCCATTAAGGTGAAACCAGTAACCAAAATCGCAATTTACCAAGACTAATGGTTAAAAGAATGGGAGCTTAAGCCAACAAGTTTTTTTTTAAAGGTCAATGAAATTTACCCACAATCTGTCAACAAGTTTTTTTTTAAAGGTCAATGAAATTTACCCTCAATCTGTCAGATAGAATGGAAGGAGTGATGAGCTTGTATTTAGGGGCCTCAGAGAGGAGCTTGTCGTAGGTAGCCTGGTCAAACAACACCATGTTGTTCACCTTCTCCTTCTGCTTTCCCTTGCTCCACTTCTGCATTGTCGACAGAACAAAATTCCAGTATAAAAGATCTAATAAAAAAAACAAAGATCCAGTTCGTAAATGAACGAATCAATACAGAAAGTTGCCGAAGGACATAATGAAGAAAATAAAATTAGCGAAGTGGTATCAAAATGGAAAAGTAAAATGGAGACTGCAAAAAATATCGAAAATTTTAACTTTTAATGTCCAAACATCAGAGGAACAAAAAAAACAGAGAAGCAGAGATAAAAAAAAAAAAGAGCATCGTGTGTAAACAAAAGATGGATAGATATAGGATTTCATTCTATCAAACCTTCTTCTTCTGTTTACCACCGCCAGACTTGGCAGGCTTGGAAGATGGAGGAGGAGCCTTCTCCTTCTTTGGGGCCTGGAAAAGCAAAATAGTAAGTTTTCTTCGGTGTCAGTCTCGTTCTCATTCAGCTAAAATGTAGAAGAATGAGTCAATTCATAGAATGGAGTGTGAGAGTAGAGTACGCACCATCGAATCTGAAGAGGAGGGAGTTGCCGAGGGCAAAGATTCGAGTTGCTGCGAGTGGAGAAGGAGCTTCCGCCGTAGAAGGATGAAGAAAAACCCTAAAGTTCTAATTAGGTGCTTTTATACCGCATGTATACGGGACGAAAACAATTCAGCTTTTTAGGGCAAGCAATAGACTGGGTCGTGGGCCGCGTGAGTAGATAAACAATAGGCTGGCCCACTTCGAAGCAGGAGACGTAGTAGAACTGTAGAAGTAGGACTAGGGAGGCGTTCGCCGTTCGGGGCTTCGGGTCGGGCGTCTATGAAATTTTTATTTTTTTCGGTCGACCAAACTTTCGTTACGGATTGTATCAGCCGATATGTATCGTATCGGTTGGTAAGGATTTTTTTACCATTTGTTTTAAATGTTAAATAACCTTAGGATTCATTTGGTTCGTGGACAGAATCACCTATTCTTTACGCCTGTTTGGTTCAATCAGGAGGAATCAGAATTGGATTTTGATTGCTATTGTTTGGTTCATTGGAAGTTGGAATCGGAATCAACTGAAATTTTTAATTTTGTATTAATCTATTTAATATTTTATTACTAATATTTTATGAATATATAATTATTATTTTATTGGTACTTAATAATTAATATCTTAGTATTTATCATTTATTTATGCATATTTTATTAACATATCATTATATTATTATTACTTTACTAATATTTATATAATTATACTTTATTAATAATTTATTATTTTCTTATTATCTTATTAATATTCTATTGTTTTTTATTATTTTAAAATTAATTTATAATTATTTAATAAATAAAATGTTACTATTTTATTATTATGTTAATATAATATATTAATAATTTATTTTTACTTAAAATAATATCTTCACTTTTATTATTAATTTTTAATGTTTTATTATAGTTTTATTATTTTTATGAATATTTTACTAATATTTTAATTATTAGTATACTCTTATTTAATTACTATTATTATTATTATTATTACATTCATAATATTTTATTATTTAATTATTAGTTTTTACTATTATTATTATTATGTTATTACTTTACTTATGTTGTATCAATATTTTCTTTGTACTTTATTTTTTATTTAATAACTAATATCTTTGTTTGTTATTATTATTTTATTAATATTAGGATTAGGGTCTTTTGTCATGAGTTATTAATAATAGGATTTAAGGCTCCGTTTGGTTTGTGGGAAATTTTGGATGGGATGGGATGAAAAAGTGTGCAAATTTCACTTTTCCATTATTTGGTTATACAAGGGAAAATAATGGAAAATTCATTTTCCCATGTTTGTTTTGCAACCTTCTGTGTTTTTCCCCCTAGTTTTGCCTTGTTGTTTTAAGATTTCCATGCTTACAAAACTCTTTCTCTCTATTTACATAATCATCTTTGCCATATGCCAAATTGACTATGTGTAATTAGCATAGCCTACTTGGCCTTAATAAACTTTTTCAGAAGTTGGGTTTGGCATTTGGCTCTCTCTCTCTCTCTGGTTAGTATCTTTAGTTCAAGGTTATGGTTTCAGTTAGCATGAGCCCATTGTTGTATGGGCTTGTCCAACTTTATATGTAATTAAAAAAGAATAAAACTGGTTAAAAATAAAGTTCTTAGGCATTACTTAACTAAAATGATAAAAGGCCAAGTACGAATGAGAGAAGTTTTGTCTTCTAGTTGTAAAGTTCTCATTAGCTTAATTAACTATTTTTCAAGGACATTTCAAGATGCTACCAAGTAACTACATAGACCTGACCCTTCCTATACACCAAATTTATTGCAGATAAATTTGCAGATGTAATTTCAATTTCTTGCATTAAAAAATATGCACCCATGTCCATATTGTTTACATGATATTTAGCTTTCTAGATTGTTGGATGACTGTAGGGTGGTTCATCATTTTACAAGTCTGAAAACATCCAACAAATGCAGGGTGGTCCATACTGTTCACATGATATTTAACTTGAAGTTCTGGAAGAAACGGTGGACGACTTATCAACCTTAATCCTCATACATGCACTGGAAACTATATAGAAATACTCATGCCAAACAGGGCTTGGCCACATAAGGCAACATATGTAAACACACAAGAATTGATACAACTCACCCACAGACCTGTTTTTGATGGACAAGATTGGCTATTGTTACTATCAACTTAGAAATTTGGGGCTCAACATCTTCAAAAATACATCCCAAAACCTACTAAGAAGAGTACATAATCTTGTTTGAGAGAAAGAAATAAACACTTAGGCCCAAATGAGAAAATTTGAATTCAAGTAATCAACACATAGTCCATGAATTTGTTGCAGGTTTATCATAGATTTCTACTACAAGTTTGCAACCTCTCCATTGCTCTATAATGCCAAGTCTTCTTCTAACACAGGAACTTTGCTCTCTCAACTTTGATTCAAATAATCTCTTCTTCTTGTGCATATTCTTTTTATGCTCATGGTTTTTTCTCTCAGGTGCCTTTGTTGTTGAAGTTTAATGTTTAAGCCCTTAAAACATGATTACATAGGTTTATCAGAGATTTCTTCCATGGAAGGCTTTGAGAAGATTTCTTCTTCCTCTTCCACAGTTTCTACCGAGGAGGAGAAGAAAAATGCATTTAACCTCAAAAAGATTGAGCTCAAACTTGGGTTGCCTGGTTCTGAGTCTCCCGAGAGGAAGGCTAATGTTGGGGTTGGAGTTTTCCCTCTTGGGAAGGACTATAGAGGATAAGAATGACTACTCACTTGGCATATTGAAAAATTTTGTTTCTGGGGCTAAGAGGGGATTCTCTAACACTATTGATGGTTTTGGGAAATGGGTTTTCTCTAGGGCTAGTGGATTTAAGGTTGATTTGGGGAAAAGAGCTGTATTATTCTCTCTGATAGGTGGAAATGGTGGCAGGTCTCTTGTTGTTTTGGAAAATAGTAACTAGTAATCAGCTTCACTCAAAGATACTTATAAAAAAATAATAACATAGGAAAAATAAAAAAAAAATGCAAGTCTCAACTGCACAAGGAGAATGGAGTTTCTCCTTGTTGGAACTAGTGAGGAAGATGACAAGAGGTTTGATTAATGCAGAGACTTCTGCAAATAATGGGTACGGGTGGATTCGAGCTGAGTCGAGCCAAATACTTGGCTATTTGAGCTCAGCTCATAGAAATAGTGTTAGGCTCGAGCTCAAGCTCGATACGAGCTAGAGACTTGAGCTCGAGGTCGGCTCGATTCAAAAGCTCGCAAGTTGGAGCTGAGCTCGACTCGAGTTTGATTGCAAGCCAAGTTTTTTCTAAAAAATAAAAATAATTTTTTATTTTACATACAAAAATTAAGAATTATAAAAATTATTTATTATTATAAATAAAAAAATATTATTATATATAATAAATATTATTATATGTATATGTATATGTATATGTATATATATATAATAAAAGTTATTTATTTATTATACTAGGCTCGCGAGCCTATCTTTACTGGGCTCGAGCTCAGCTCGATTAGCAAATGAGCCTATACAATGGGCTTGTGCTCAACTTGAAGCTCAGTTTAAACCAAGTAGAGCCAAGCTTGAATAACTCATGAGAAGCATAGCGTGGCTACCCCTAACAATGGGGAATACCTTCATATGCATCAAAATATATAAAAGAATAGTGAAAATGGCTTGCCATCGCAAGAGGATTACAGATCTGGTCTCACCTTTTCTCGAGATCACTGGAAAAGCCGTCGGAGATACAATTGTTGGGACACTAGGTTGAAGGAAGAAGAAACACTCAAATTCCAAGTCTAACAAAACTTGATAATCTTTTTCATACGTGTCTCACTTTTTTCCTTTCTCACCGGGCCACCCTATTCTGGTGGGATCCCACTCACTCATTTTTTGGGATCTCGCATCTCACTCTTTTCTCATCCCAAACCACTGTATCCCAACAATTAAACATGTGAAAAAGGAATCATTTAAGAATATTCCTCTTTTCCCATCCCCATCCCGCAAATCAAACGAAGCCTAAGGGGGTCTGGATTCTAGAATGGCCAATTCTCCCAATAATGTGAATCAAAATCCCATTCCTACCAAACAAATAGTAAGAATTGGAATGGGGCATTCCGATTCTAATTCCAAGCACCTATTCCTGAAAACAAAATGAACCCTTATTTCCCAGTTCCTCTAAAATTTTGAAAAGAAAAAACTAAAAAAAAATGTGCTAGGGTGTATCAATATTTTGAACCTTGATCATATGTCTTAAGACACGGGGCAATACTTTTGTTTTGTTTTTTTTTTTTTTGTATTTAACGCAACCCATTAATGATTCTTTGAGGTAGGTGGTAATAGTGGGACTTGAATCCGCACATCCACTAGGACTACCCAGCTACTAATTGAGCCACCTAGTTCGTAGATATTGATTCATATAATGGTAAGATGAAAACGTTCAACCACCTTACTAAAGCCTAAGCCCCTAAGGGCTTTTTGGTTTTTTGGATTTTAAGAGGGGGGGGAGTTGGTCAATGGGATTCTGGTTTCCATTGACCAAGATACTATTATTCTTTTTTTTTAGATTTATGTGGGCCCCATGGAAAGTTTACTAGTGTTTAGAAAACTAGACTGAATTGACCAATTGGACCGGTTGAACAATGACATGGGCCCTTGGCGGCTTGGCCAATCTGGTCATACTCCCAAAACTGCATTGGATAAAAAATTGCCAAAACCTGTGACCGAATAGTTGAACCAGAAAACCAGTGACTCGGTCCCAGTTTTTGACATTTCTTTTGCACATAAATACAAAATTCTAAAGGCCATAACTTTGTGCTTGGGTGTCCAATTGGGGTTATCTCTCTTTTTTTTTTGGGTAATTTCTTGAGATCTACATGCTCCTAAGTAGCCAAAAGCGCCTTGCCCTGAAATTTTTATTAAAAAACACTTTTTTTTTAGATTTGTAGTTCAAACGACTTAAAAGGTATTTTAATTTTTAAAAGCCTAAACCTAAACTTGTGAGTTGATAATTGAGATCTCAAAAAAAACAAAGTGGAAAGTTTTGTTTCACTTCCACCATTTTGCATTGCTTATTGTACACTGCAAGAGAGTCCTTAAATTAAATGACAAAACCTGAACAGTAATTCTATGCAAATAGAGAATGAAGG